ATTTTAAGAGTGGTACCTATCAGGGCTGTTTGTTTTTTAGACTTACTTAAAAATATAGTCTAATTCATACCCAAGACTCTGGAGGAGTTTGGTACACACGGATGTTAAAGTCCTTGGGTATGGCATTCGTATCCTCCATTTTCCAGCATTCTTTAGAAAGGATAAAACAACAGCAGATACAATGTAGGTATTCAGTAATGCACAGTTTTGCAAAAAGAGGGACACCCCAGAGAGGATTCAGGCTCTCTCTCTGGTAAGGGGTTTTCAACAAACTGATCTCAAGCCACAAACATTCTCAGAAAATCCAAGAGGAAAATCATGGTTTCTATATTGACTAGTGTCTAAGAATACAGCAGTAGCACAGTCCAGACTGGCTTGGGCGTAAATAATTTTGCCTGTTCTTTCTACTCCTTGATCCTTCTTACTCCCTACCCCTAGCCAAGTGTTTCCAGGGAGCCTTAGGAACCACATGATGTTCTTTTTCAGAAAATATCCTTTCCATCATAGAGAAGCAGTAGAAAGGCAGGATACCACAGAACCTGGATTTGACTCCTGGCTCAACTACTTAGTGGCTGTGTGATCTCAGGTGAGTTACCCTGCCTCTCTGTGCCTCAGCTGTACCATCTGTAAGTGACAATGATAATGGTAATACCTAATGGCACACGGCTGCCGTGGGATCTAAATGAAGCAATCCATGAAAGCACTCACAAACTCGACCACAGTTAGTGCTCAATAAATGCTGGATATCTGACTTATTACTGGGTCAAATTTCAGTGCTCCCCTGCTCCTCTGAGCCACTCCACTAGTCTGTATTCTGCATCGCTCACCACATGCGTCAGCCATGCCTATGCATACAGTCCAGAGATTAACGGAGAACTTGAGGTGGTTTCTGTAAGGAAAGCTAGTGAGTCATTAGCCCAGAATCCCACAATCAAATGCGAGGTCTCCAGGGCCTCCCCATGTGGGGACAGTCCCTATCGCTCAGTGCTCTGCACGAGGATGCAGAGCATGAAAGGGCCACATCTGACAGCTGAAGGCAGCAGATTCATCCCTGCCGCTGTAGCTTTGCCCACTCAAGTGGAATGAACTGACTTGTGATTTGTTTTTCCCTTTTTGGGCCCAGAAGGCATGAATTTACAGATCTTAGAACCAGATTCCCCAGTCTGTTCCCACTCAGCCAAGTTTGAGACGCCTTGATAATCCTAGTTACGTGGAAAGCAAAGCTGAACAGATGGGAGTCAGGCTTCTGTCCCTGGAGGGTGTACAAAAGTTGGAGCTGACTAGGGCTGATCTCTTGTTTCAGAACTTGCTCTCCTGTGTTCTTTGAAATAAAACAAAAATCTTTATTTTGAAGACTGCTCCAGCATTAACATCTGCTGCTTCAAAAGAAGGCATTCTCCTGAGTGTCATAACCGGCTTCCCTATGTCTCTGAGAAAGGGACTCACATTCACCACAGGGTATAGGACTGGCCCTGAAAATGAGCCCCTCCCTAACAGCTTTCTTTTTTCTTATTTTTTTAAAGACCTAAAGACAAAGTACTCTATTTTATTGGAACTTCAGAAATGATTTTTAAGTAAGGTTTTGTTGAATGTAATATACATCAAGAAAAATATGCATATCATTAAATATGATTTTGAATTTTACAAAGTAGATGCATTCATTAATCACCAAGAAATTTAAAATTGCCAGTACCCCCAAAATCTTCCCTGCCACCCCCTCCAATTTTTCTTACTTCTATCACCATCAATTAGCTTTGCTTATTTTTGGCAGTTGAATTAAGTAGACTCATATAATATGCATTTTTTTCAGTCTTCTTTCCTTAGCTCAGTATTAGAGACAAGACTCATTCCAATTTTGTATGTAGCAATAGTCTGCTCTTTTTAATTGTTGTATGGTATTCCATTTTATAAGTATACTGTAATTTATTTCCCCATGCTAATGCTGATGAATGCTCATTTTCACTTTTGAGCTCTTGGGAATTCCTCTACTATGCACATCATTTCCCATGTATTCTTGTGTATATTTGCATGCATTCCTGATGAGTGTAACGGAGGAGTGGAAATGCTGATCCTCAGGCTGCACATATATTCAGCTGTAGTAGTTAATGTCAAACTGGGCTCCAAAGTGCCCATTTCTACTCCCAACAGTATTGGAGGATGGACCAGGTGCCCCAACAACACCACCTGATATTATCAGTCTTTTAAAATATAAATATTCTGATGGGTGCACAGTAATAACTTATTATAGTTTTAAGCTGCATTTCTTGATGAGTAGTGATGTTGAGAATTTTTTCATATGCTATTCCCGATTGGCTATTTGGTCATCCTCTTTGAGATATTTAAGTCATTTGTGTACCGATTGGCTATTTGGTCATCCTCTTTGAGATATTTAAGTCATTTGTGTATTTTCTGTTGGGTTGCTGGAATTTTTCTTATTGATTTGTAGATTTATTTATAGTTTTCTGGGTCGAAGTCTCTTATTAAAAGAATGTATTGCACATAACTTCTTCCCCTCTAGAACTTACCTTTTAATTTTTTTAAAAAGTGTCTTCTGAAGAAAAAAAATTCTTAATTTTAATGTAGTCTGATTAAACCATCTTTTTAAATACAGCAAGTTTTGCTTCCTGTTTAAAAAATATTTTCCTAACCCAAGGTCATGAAGATACTCTTGTGTTTTCCTTTAAACACTAGTTTTATCTTGCAAAATGAGATGGACAGTCCAGTTAAAATTACTTTTGTGTGTTATGAGGGGGTCAAGATTCATGTATTCCCCTGTATTCAATGTTGCAGCATCATTTATTGAAAAGATTATAATTTATCTACTGTTCCACAGTGTCTCACTTGTCAAAGTTATATGTTTATATATACATATATGTATATTATTTTGTCAGAAATCAATTGACCATATAGTAATTCAGTGTGAAAATAACTATTTTCAATGGTGCTGGGTGCATAAACCTTTATTTACCCTTGCCTAGAACAATTTTATTCACGATGGATCATAGGCTTAAATGTGAAAACTAAAGAAAAAACTTGTAGATTGATACCTTCACAATCTCGGGTTAGATTTCTTAAGCAAGTCGTAAAAATTACTAATTATTTATTTTATGTAATTACTGATAATATATGGGTCTATATATACCACTTTAGAATTTGTTCTTTTTGTCTCAGCTGTAGTTTGTTCATTTTTCTCTCCCGTTTCCCTTATTTTGGATTAATGAGGCACTTTTATTATTAGTCCAGTTCCCCTGTTGATAGCTTGATAGCTCAGTATTATCATACTGTTTTTCAGTTGTTACCCTAAATATTCTGAACACATTCTCAACATGTTGGTATCTCATATAAATTAGTACTTTTACTTCTTCACAAACATTTCCTGGAACTTAAATCACTTTAACTCCATTTAATTCTCTCCACATACTATATTATCATTGTCACGATAGTTTTTTCATACCCATCTTCTCCCTTCTGTGTGTCTGTCTGTGTGTCCCTTTCTTTTCCACTCTCTTTCTAGATAGATACATACATATTTGGTTTGCAGCAAGCTAGTCTGTCATAGCCTCAGGTAGAAGTCCCCAAAGATTTATTTCCCTGAAATGCGAGTAACTCCAATTGGTCTAAATTGGCCTGTATCTTTCTAGTTCCCACTAAAGAACTTCGGGGAACCTTAGTGTTTGGAAGATTGGGTATGAGTAAAAGGCATACTAAAGAGATAGTAGGAAAGAGCCTTCAGTTAGAGCGGTGGTTTTCTAAATGGTCTTGGACTAAAAGCATCAGCAGCATCTGAGCCAGAGTTTCAAGATCATTAGTTCACAGTTGTTTTTCCTTTGGAATTAAAATACTAAGTTTTTTTTTTTTTAGCAAACCTGACAATGTAGTCCTAACTGCTTCATCTTCTCCCCGTCAAGTCACACTCTAGAGCCACCCAGATTGGTCTATCCCTCTTGACTTTGCCCTTGTTTCTTCTTTTTTTTTTTTTTTTCACTTGAAGCATAATGCATAACCTATGACCTTGTTAGAAATACATACTCTTGGGTTTTACCTCAACCTAAGGCATCAGAATCTTTGGAGATGGAGCCCGGAACACTGTTTCAACCTGGTAATTCATCAGGTAATTCTTACACATGTTAAAGACTGAGAGCCACTGGGCTATCAGAATAGAAGGGGGGACGTTAATGTTGTGTATCTTAATCCTGGCATTATTATGAACTTTTTAAATCCCTTTGTGTTCACCAGGTCTGTTACAGTGTTGGCCATATTTTAGGTAGGCAGAAAACATGGTTGATGGGAGGACTGCCTGATGTAATAACTGAGATCATTTAACAGAAGTGCTCATCCTTTAGAGACCATCTTCCTCATTGACAAGATGACAAACATGCCTGTGTACACACTGATATGCATAATAAAAATGTCACCTTATCTTACCATCTAAATAATCAGAAATTCCAGACAACCATAGTTTGGCAAATAATAATTGATGCTTATAATGACATCCTTGAGGTGCTATCAAAAAAAATAAACCTCTCAACTGCTAAAGAAATTATACTCAATGATGTTTACATTGGCCTTGATGCTATATATAGGACCAGTATGCTGCCTTTGAAAAAGAAAAGTTTTTAGCAGATTTTAGGTTAGTTCAGTTTGTGTGTGTGTTAAGTTATTCCAGGAATATTGCTAATGTGTTCTAAGAAAACATTTTGCTAAAAGTGCCAATAATGCAAGGTTAAATCCAAACAGAATCCCTAAGACGTGAGACATTAAGAGAGATGAACGACTTACAGTGAAATAAAAATAATTGAAGAAATGTGTCTAAGAAGCCGAAATGATAGCCACCACCATAAAAACCAAGGAACTAAATGTAGAATAAAATTTTTAAACAAAATTTAAAATTTAAAAATGTATATGTAAACAAAACCAAAACGACATATAAGCCGAACCGTGATTTCTTAGGAAACGTCACCAGCTCTGGAGGGTGGAAGGGAGACGGGAACTGATGCTACCTCTTCCAGCTGCACCATGAGGGTAACATTGTGGCCTTGTTCCGCTGTCAACTTTCCATCGGCGGTGACGATCCGGAGCCCCCGTGGGGCCTTCCCTGGGCACTTCTGTGGCTTGGCAGTGTACCGCTCCCTCACTCCATCAGTGCAGTTATTAGAAACCACCTTTCTATATCTAAATGGGAAAAAAAGCTCCAATTTAATCCAGATCATTATAATTTGGATCACTCCCAATTTTTTGAGCCGGACCTCCTGTCTAGCCCTGAGGACATAACTACCGTTCATATTGCTCTGAAGATTATAGTTCATTCATGGAAAGTACCCAGCAGAGAGACAAATCGTCACAGTAACACACTGCATCTATTATTAGCATTTTAATTTACTGCAATTATTCATTTAGTCAGTCAACAAATCAAATCATTTCACTTTGGAGCCATGGAAAATGCACAGTAGACCAGAAGACATGGTCCCTCCTTGCCAGCACTAAGTTTATAATCTGGATGAAAAGACATACATGGATAACCTAGGAGACACTTCAAAGGCTATATAATTAAAGGTTAGAATGAATAATATATACTGTGAAGGATGTGCAATTCAAAGAAAGGAGAGATGATTACGCATTATGTGACTAAACGTTCTATACCACGGATGCCAAATTTACAGAGCCACACTTAACACATGATGGTCACATCAGAAACCATTAACTTTACACACATAACCAGGCAAGGTGAGGACCTGGGGTTCATCTAGGAGGAAGGGAGGTGGAAGCAGAGGGTGAGGGGTGTTGTGCAGCACAGTTGCGTGGGGCCAGGATGAGAAAGATAGCTAGAGGGGCAGGGCCCAAATATCTCCGTTATCAGTAAAAAATAAAAGTGAATGAAAAAAACGCCACCATTGAAATGGCCCCAGCAGGATGCTGTAGTAATCGTACAGTGCAGAAAGCTGGCTAAATTTGATAGCTTCTACTCAATATTCCATGAGGAGTAGTATAGGGCCTCAACTACTGAAACCTCACATTAAGGAGACTTTGGTCTGCAGATTGAGTAAATTCTTCCTACTCCTTTGCTTTTTCTTCTTGTTTTAGCTCTAATAGAAACAAAAGTAATTATCCTACAAATTTATCTTATATAATTTATCAGATTCATGATAAACTAGAATCTATAGGTTTGGAATAACTAACCGTTAAGGCTTTTGAGTTTCAATGTTACCTATTCATCATCTTTTTTTGTGTGCAGTCTACAGCAACCACTTTATGTGTTCATATATTTGTCTTCTCAAGTCTACTTGCTTAGAGGTGCTGGTTGAGCCCAAAATGGAAGTAATCAAAGTCCAAAGTCTTTCCACTATTTTAAATTAGGAGTTGGCAACTTCTTATATAAAATGCCAGGCAGTAAATAAATGTTTTAGCTTTGCAGGTTCTACAGTTTTTGTCACAAGTACAACTCTTTGGTTGTAACATAAAAGCAGATATAGACAATGCATAAAAGAATGAACGCAACTGGTTCCCAAGAAAGTTTTATTTACAAAAACTGGTAGTGTGCAGGCCTGTAGACTATTGTTTTCCAACCCCTTCAAATCTAACCAAAGTCCTTTCTCTGTTCCTAAGTCTCAAGACTGACTACCTAAAAGTATGGTTGAGAAAATCAAATTACATACCTACCCTCTGGGAAAGTGCTTTGAACACTGTAGATCACTACAAGGCCAATTATTAATAGTAAACTCACCTCCTAGGGTAGTTGTGAGGATTAAATGGATTAATGTACACAAAATACTTAAAAGCACCCTGACAATTACCAAGGGCTTATGTAATGCTACCAAGTTTTAATTTTTATTTTTTAATCAACTTTTAAATGTTGCTTTCCATTTACAATTATCACAAAATATTGGCTATATTCCCCATGTTGTGCAATGCATCCTTGTAGTCTACCTTCCACCCAGTAGTTTGTACTTCCCACTTCTCCACCCCCACATTATCCCCCTCTTCCCCACTGGTAACCCTTAGTTTGTTCTCGATACCTGTGAGTCTGCTTCTTTTTTGCTATATTCACAAGTTTGTTGTATTTTTTAGTTTCTACATATAAATAATATCATACAATACTTATATTTCTCTGACTTATTTTACTTAGCATAATGCCCTCCAAGTTCATCCATGTTGTTGCAAATGGCAAAATTTCACTCTTTTTTATGGCCGAGTAATATTTCTCTCTCTCTCTCTCTCTCTCTCTCTCTCTCTCTTACACACACACACACACACCTTCTTTATCCATTCATTTGTTGATGGACACTTAGGTTGCTTCCATATCTTAGCAATTGTAAATAAAGCCTCTGTGAACATAGGGGTGCATGTATCTTTATGAATTAGTGTTTTTGTTTTTTTTTTTAGATATATTCCCAGGAGTGGAATTGCTACATCACGTGGTAGTTCTATGAAACCTCCATACTGTTTTCCACAGTGGCTGTACCAATTTACATTCCTACCAACAGTTTAGGAGGGTTTCCTTTTCTCCATGTCCTTGCCAACATTTGCTATTTGTGTTCTTTTTGATCATAGCCATTCTAACAGGTGTGAGATGACATCTCATTCTCTAATAATATATACAAAACTAACCTCAAAATGGAGTAAAAACCTAAGCGTAAGACTGGATACCATAAAACTCCTAGAGGAAAACATAGGCAGAACATTCTTTGACATAAATCACAGCAGTATTTTTTTGGATTCAACTCCTAAAGTAAAGGAAATGAAAGCAAAAATAAACAAATGGGACCTAATTAAACTTAAAAGCCTTTTTACAGCAACGAAACCATCAATTGAACGTAAAGACAACATACTGAATGGGAGGAAATATTTGCAAATGACATGACCAATAAGGGATTAATATCCAATATATATAAACAGCTCATACAACTCAACATCAAATAAAACCAAACAACCAGGTTAAACAGTGGGCAGAAGAACGAATAGACATTTTTCCAATGAGGACATGCAAATGGCCAACAGACACATGAAAAGACGCTCAATACTGCTAATCATCGGGGGAATGCAAATCAAAAACTGAAATGTTGTCAATTATTTTTAGTTAACATTAGTATTCATCCTACCTGCTCACAACCTTCATGGGGACTCTAAGTTCCATAGCATAAGTCACAAAACCTCTAATCTCCCTGCATGAAGCCCTCCACAAGCTAACTTTGTTCTACTCTTCTTGACTTTGTCTCCCCAACAAGCTCATTCTGTGCTAGCCAAACTTCTCTTTTCAATCCTCTTGAAAGTACTTCTTCTCTTTTGTTCTTTTGGCTTCTATGCCCTCCTGAATGCTCTGTCAGCTGCCTAAAACTTACCACATTTAAAGTGACAGCTTATCTCCTGTCTTTTCCTGACTATGGTAGCAAAATAGTAAGTTCATATTTAGAGAGTGCTTAATATGTTCTAATCATTGTGCTAAGTTCTTAACATGATTTACCTTCAAAATATCCCAAATAAGAAAGACATATTATTCTCAATATACAGATGAAGAAATTAAGATTCATAGAACTTAACTAGTTTTCTTAAGATCACACAGTCAGGACTCTAGATAATTTGTCTCTAGAATACATGTACTCTTTACCACTATATTGTACTGCCTCTTTGAATGGAGTGAGCTATCTGTCCTCTAAACTCTTCTAGGAATTCTTATAATCTTCTTGATAATGGAATCATTTATGTCTTGTATGATTTTCTTCCTGAGTGTGACTGTGGACTTAAAACTTCTTGAGGGCATCCTTGTACCACAGACATGTAAGGCTGACAAATCAGGAGATCCACACTGGGATGACGTACAAGTTTGAATGCTGAAATATCTGCCTAGCAGTTGGGTATCACCACTACCCCAAACCCTTCAAGCACCTCACCCATCGGCTATGTTGACTCCTACCCTTGGAGTCCCTGCTTCTCCTAGCAATCCAGAAACTAATGGGTTAACACCTAGCACATCAGGGAGCCTCCCAAACGCTGCTCCTGCACTAAGATCCCTACTCATTCTGATGAGTTATGGCCATGGCTGGGTATTCTGAACATCACTCCATCTGATATTTTTATAAGTTCTTGTAGGTGCTTACAACTGTATGCTGATTCAAAAGAAAATAAGGGCATATAGGAAAGAAGAAAAAAAAGATACTGACACTGGAGAATGGTGACTTTCTGGTACCAGCAATGGTAGCAAAAAAATGACCAGCAATGTGACACAGTGATTATGGCATCCTAGAAACTCCCTGCGTGTTTCAGAGGCAAGGCACCATGCAAATTAAAGGCAGGTTATGCTTTTTAATCACTTAGCATTGAAGCGCACCTGCGACTCTATCTTGGCGAGCAGCTCTAGAGGCAAGGGCTCACCGTTACCACCGGTAGCATCAGCTAGAGAACACTCCTTTTGTTTGCCGCTGTTCTGACCAATCATCCCCACAGGCTTTCCTGAATCCTGCAGCAACAGAAGTTCTGCTTAAATCTAAAGCATGAATCCAGCCCCCTGGGATTCTGCCATGGAGAAGACTGTTGGTAATTTTTTTAAAATGCTCATTAAAAACCATTCTGAAACCATTTTATTTCCTGGATGAAAATGGCATCCCATTAGCCCTACCAGAACTGTCCCCGAAATTTAAAGAAAATTGTGCAGAGTTCATTTACTCAAGGAAGCACACACCTGCTTTTTGCATTACAGAATGGTTCTATTTTCATCCCAGCAGCTGTCCCTGGGTCTGAGTTACATAAATGAATAATACATTTAATATGTTATTAAATGGGGCTGCTACCTCCACAATAATAAGGCAACTTATGATTATGTTGGACCTAAGCTCTGAATACTACTGGGTTGCATTTAGTTGGTAAAACACTCTTCAACCTGCCAAGAAGAAAAGTGCTTTGTAACGGCAAGGGGGTCTTTGCACAATTACTAAAGGAAACACTCTGCAAATATGCCTTTGATATTACCGACAGCTCATCAATAGCCAGTGTCTTATTAGTTCAACACCCCCAATTTCAGCTACTCTCTCCCCTCCCTTCTTGATACTCCTGTCACCTTTTCCTTTTTACCCCTACCTTCTTTGATTTTGCTTCTGTGCTGTCTGCCAGTCTTGAGAAAGATGAAGGCCATAGTTTTCCTTTGTGAGAGTGAAACAGGAAAAAAGCATTTGAAAGTCTTC